ATGTTACTTTCGAGAATAAATGTTTTCATTTTTTGTTGAATTTCATGCCATAAACGACTAGATCCACTTTCAAGTTTTTGAAGAAGGAATTCTTGACTTGGTTCAGGTGTATCACTATTTGTTACTTAAAAATAAAAGAAGAAAATAATGGTTAATCGATTGAGAAACAAAACATTATATTTACATTCAATGGATGGAGGATTTTTTTCATGCCAAAGCCAGATTAATTTATAAGATTTAATTATTTGCCAAAAACATACATTAAGTTCATGTAGACAACTTGAAAATGATTCTTCGGGAACCATCTAAATAGATTATAAACTATTATAAACAAATCGAACGTCAGATTAACAAATTTACTTTGCATAAGTCACTATAAGACGATAAATTTTGTTCATTATTTATTGTTCCAACAGTTTTTAATAAAATTTCTAATGTACGTGTTTGTACAACATTAACAAAATGCATTTGTAATTGATCCATAGATGTCAATGATTTTCCAAGTAAACGATAAGCATTCAATAAACGTTGATATGTATGTGGATTAAAATATGAACAAAGTTTAGCTAATGTTACATCAATTGATTCTTCAATAAAATCTAATGTATCTTGAAGTTTAGTTGAAAGATCTCTGAAATAAAAAATAGATTTCGAAATATTTAATAAATTATATTATCATACCTAATACATTGATATTCTTTATAATGATGAACAGTATTTCCACATTGAGAATATAATTGAATGGCTCCAACGAAATCTTCATGCTAAATAATATTCGAATATTTGTATGAAGAATTATTCTATAGAGAATTACCTTAACCATTTCTTTTAATTTTTGATCAAAACTATGCTGAAATAATAAAAAGATCTTTTATTAATAGATGATTAAACAAAATACGAACTAATTTTTTTAATTTTTCAATATTTTTAAGAACATTGATCCATTGTTGTTTACGCATTTCATTTCGAATTAAACTTAAATTTCGTGTTGTTATTTGATATTGTGCTCGGCGAAGATTTCTAATAAAATCAAGGATCATTTTTTTTGTTAATTCAAAATTAAATTCTTAAAAATAACCTTCGAGCTTTATGGCATGTTTCAATTGAATCTTGTAATGCACCTGTTAGTACAGTAACACGTTGTAATTCAGTTGTATATGATGAACTATTTTCAAGAATTAATTTCGATACACGTTTTGATACCTATTTATTTGAATAAGAAATTTTAAAAGAAAAAGATTGCGGTTTTTACGAACAGCGGTTAACTGAGTTTTGAGATGGTCACGACGTGTTATTACATCGGAAATATTTAGAAATGGATTACCATTTAACGTTGATAATAATTTCTAAATTAAGAATATTTAAAACAAAAGAAGAAAAAAGAAATCTTTTGCTTTACTTGAAGTTCATATTCTTTTGGGTCAAAATTATGTTCGATGTAATAATTATCTTCAATTGTATTCAATGTTTCACGATCGGCTTTTTCGCTGATACTTACAAATCCATGGTCCTGAATAGATAGCAATAAATTTAGCAAGTATAACTTATAAGAGTTCTACTTGCCTTAAATGAATCAAAC